TCAACTGTCTCATTCGTCTCGGGGAGCAGTTTCTTTTGCATTTGAATATTCCTTATTGTTTTATTTATTCGTTGTGAAACTTTTTTCTTAACTTATAGTCTATCTCGATGACTTCGACTTCTTTTTGGGGTTAATAACTGGCTCACTGGTACGTACCGGTCCTCGCTCCTCACCGTTTATGGGTCTAAGCCTCGGAGTTGTTTTCTCACCGTCTTTTTCAAACGGTAACGAACTTTTTTTTTTCCCTACCTTTGACAAAGTGAACGCTCCTCCATCCTCCTTACTCCTTAACCCTGTATGACACTATTGTCAGAATGCCAAGCGTTACCTCATGTCGTCTACCTCAAACACACCGAGTACACTAATTACCCTGTAACCGGCGGTTCCTCGGCGCTTCTTTGTCCGTTATGTCATTTGGCGGGAATTTCGAATTACTCGGCAACAAAGATCCCGGGTTTTTCAGGTTGAAACTTTCGTCACCGAGTATTGTGTTATTTTTCTAAGGTAAAAAGATCGAATTTCCACAGGCACTACGAAAACTCGTAAACAAGTATAGAAACAATATGGCCGACTCTTATATAGATATAGTGATATCATCATGCTGCTGCGGTAAGAAAATATAATTCTCGGTTTCGCAAAAATGACGAAATCAAGCGTCGCAGCTGTCGTTACGAAAATTCAAGCCGTGACAGTCGATCGATTGCCCCTTCGTTTTCTGATCTCTGTCTCCGACCCAATTTACGCCTTCATTCAACTCGCTTCCTTGGCCACGGTTTAGTATTACAGTAAATTCGGAGTGTCGATGGTCGTCGTTTGCCTTTTGTGATTCGTTCACAAATTATTTTTGGTTCACATTTCTATCAGTTCCCGTCGCGTACGGGGCCATGTTTACCAATCGCCACCAACATCGATTAAACCACTACAAACAGGTAGGACTGCGTTCCTGATACGTTCTGCACAGTTTAAATGGATCCAATAAGTAATTGCAATTTTAATCTTGAATCAGGATAATGTCTATGATAAATAGATCCAGTCACTAATGGTAACTTTGAAGACGGTTGAATATTCAAATATGAAAAACCATGATACTTCGATTAACCAACTCGCGCTGTATATAATGAAGTCAGGATCGGGGATCGAGAGAAATGAAAAATTCGCAAGTGAAAGTAAAAGCGCAAGGTTTTCGCGTGGGCGTACCAAGGAAGAATCTGCATACACCTTGAAGATTCTATCTTTATTTTTCGTACAGCCCAAGAATTCCCAATGGAGATCGGAATGCCACTCGTTCAAGGCGTGACTCGCGGTGAAAAGCCCGCGAATTTTCAAATTCAATTAAACAAATCCGCAGGTGCGCTCGTACGGTTATGCAGGTGCGATGCGTATCCAACGAAATTTATAATGTCGAAATCAAAAAAAGTATTAAATTTTCGTACCAACCTAACGTTCTTCGTTCGTCTGACACTCGCGAGTAAAATTCCCTAGTCACTTTGGACTTTCGAGCCGGGTGATACCAGTAATTTTTTTTTTTCAAAAATTTATTTTTGATAATCGTCCATTCTTTAACCATAAAAAAATTCAATGAGTAGATATACCTAATCGATAATTTTTCAATATCCATCACGCGCCCTTCGCAATTATCCCTAGTAAATTCTGTCCTTAAGTCCGATTTGAATCTGGACTTTCAAAAATTGTCAGATCCACTCGTATCGAAAAATCGACGGCTCCACAAGTAGTACCAGGCGATACTTCCTCACCATGAAGACTCGCTCGACCTTTTTAGTCGCTCCTATGAGAATAACGAGAAAGGCACGGAGACCATTGGTCAGGGACCACGATAAAGAAGCAGTGGCGTTTATAAAAAGAAATCCCCAAAAAATAATGAAAGTTCCTAGCAGCTGCCCTCATAATTAAAGATCACGCTTCTCGCTATGGTCCATTAGCCTTTGATCTGTAACAGAGTAAACGATTACAAGCGATCTTCGATATATCGATCGGACGATCGATCGGGCTGTCGATATCTGGAGCAGTCTGCGAACGAAGAAAACGTGCCAGACCGCGGAATTCAGCAACCGGAAAGAACCCCAGGACAATCGCCGTTGGCGCATGACGACGACGAGCGTCCTGAAAATTCGCCCAAATTGCAAATACCGTTTCACCGATCGCGTCACGGCTCTCCGACGACACGTTACACGTGTACGCCTTGGTTAAGCACCATTGGACAAAACAGTAAAAATCTGGCGTCATCGACCGAGATGAATAATGTGTGTCGGGTGTTGGCGTTTAAAATTCTCTCGAGCAGATTTTTCATCTGACCCATATGTCCGTCCTTCTCTTACGCACGTGAGTCACGATAACTCGGTCTCTCTCGCACTCGCATTAGGTATAGCAAATCATGAAAATCCTGAGCGTCGACCGTCGATTTATTCAGACCGATACGTAACGAATTTTCAATGAAAATTTAAAAAAAAATTTCCATTCATGGACGTCATTTTACTCTGTCAAGTTTCACAGATCGAATGACGATTTAGTCATTTTTCTTTTTTTTCATGCGTTTCACATTCCTACTCCACTGTACATGTGTACTGGTACTGTATATAAATTTAATATATCATTCAGTGTATAATGATCGGTACCCACTTTGTACAATGCTAAAAGGATGTTACCGGTTATAGGAGAATTCGGTCTGTTACACACGATACTGCTTTTACGTATGCTTGGCTGATCCGGTACCGTATGAAACGTACGAAGGTATCAAGGAGCGTTAGTGGTTTAAGAAAAATGAATTAAAAAGAATTCCATCGGTCATTAATACTTCTGAGAAGAACTCAGCTGTTCCTCGTCGCTCCCGCGTCGGATTCCTAACCTAAGAGCGTGGGCAAAATTACAAGACGCGCGAAGCCCTTTAAGGATCACGAGGATTTAATTAAACGCGCCCTACCCGGCCCAAGCGTTGCGGCTTGTTCCTATGGGCCCAGCGAACGACCAAGGACGTGATTGAATTTTTTTTTTTAATGAGTCTCTGGCCTTGCCTGTCTCACGCCACTTGGGAGTACTCCTTATCGCGAAGATCTTATACTTAATTTCGAGATTTATGTCGTTCTGTTGAAATTTCGACGAATTTTTTTTTTCGAGAATTTTTTTTTCCGTTTTCTGGATTTTACAATTATTTATTTAAACTTCTTTTTTTTTAATTCCGTTGGTTGCTACGGGAATTTTTTTTTTTAAATTTTCTTTGGGTTTAATGGTTACTCTTACGCAGGATATGACGGTTCAGTGAGTATTCCCTGAGTGAATTCAGTGAACGGGGGGGACGGGGAGGGGTCAGGGTTATACACTGAGTCACGTGGTAGTCATGTAGGGGAGGGGAGATTGTAAGCTGATTGTTCTTGGCCTAGTTAAATTTTTCATATTTTATGTGAAAAGTGAATATTCGTCGACTTTTATTTTGCAATCGTCTCTCAGTCGGGTTAACTATTCTTTTTGCGGTGTAGCTCAATAAAGAAATACTGAATAATTCAGGTAGTGACCGTAGCAAGTGACGTCACGATAATATTCAGCCCGGTGGACGGTTCAGGCTGAGCGACCATGCGGAACCCCATCCGCTTAGCGCGACTAGTAGGGAATTTCTACGGAAAGCTGAAAACTTGAATAACCAGCGGTTCTTGGGTATCCCTGAAAAATTTACGTACACTGGGTGTATGCCATTACGTTAGGTCGAGAAGAGCGTTCGTGTACAGTCTGCGAACTAATTAAATTTTAGAGGTCACGGGTAGAAGAAATAAGCCAAGGGGGAAGCTGGGTATAGTAAAATAATTAGTAATTTAAAAAAATTCTAGGGACTTTTATAGCGGTATTATTAAATCGCTTGTAAAAAAAAAAAAAACAATACTAGTCTATTTCGTCATGGATGACACAACCTAACCTAACCTGACCTGCTATCATCCTCAGCTCATCGCCGGATATCTCGCAACTCGTTTGTTCCTCTTCGTCTATCCGACCCTTTCTCGCCATTGTATGGAAATACTCCAGCCGAACTGGAGTGCCGGTGGAGTATTTACGGTAAAGGTGGAAATTAATACGGCAATGACTGAACATTGGGACAGGGTGTTATAGGGCACGTAGTACTAACCGTATCTGATACATATGTAAGAGGGATGACTAATCTTATTTGGTAAGAAGTTAAGAAGATATCAGATGCTGGTGGAATTAAGAGCTGAAAATAAGCCGGAAACTTGAAGTCTCTGTATTCCCCATGAAATTACAGTGCCCGAGTAAGGTCATTCTGGTAGTTAAGGAAGACAATGTCAATGACCAGATTTCTTTTGTCATTTCCTTCATTTTATTGGTGACGACGATTTTTGATGATCTTTTATTGCGTATGGTCCGTAATAGATTGGATTTCAAGCCGCCATGTTGGATACAGGTGAAAGGTCACTGTTTGTTCTAGAAGCTTCTGAACAGTGCATATGACATTTTAATTGATATTAATATTTATAAATGGTATAAGCGAAACAATGAGCAATGTACCAAAGAGGCTGTGGAATAGATCTCTCGTAGGCTGCAATTGACTGCACTGTGAAATTACAATGGGATAATGCGAGACCGCAGAATGGCCCCTCCTTGCTACCGGAACGACTCGATCGGCCATTTTGTGAAATGGAAAATGCATTCACCATCAACCGACGAGTCTTGCAAAGTTCTCGTGAGAAAGTGCTGGTTGAGGATAGCAGAGGTCACATTCGCATGGGTCTACCCGTGCTAGACTGTGGATTATGTAATAGTAACGTGAAGTTAGCAACAGTCGTAAATTTCATTGGGGCTGTAGCTTGTAACGGGGATTAATCGATTAGAGATATCGAGATACGGTTTATGGGCGAGATTAAATTGAGGGGAGACCAAAGTTTCTTGGGATTGAAAGAGAGAGGACGATGGAGAGAGATGGAGGAAGCGAAGAAGGGAGACCTTATGTAATTAAGTTTGTTCTTTGTTATTTGTTTCAGCAATGCCAGGCACTTACGGAGGAGAACAAACGTCTGCACAATTGTCTCACCTCGAACGAAGTTCCCCACGTTCGACTAGTAGATAACGTCTGTCTGCAGAATCAAGTGGACATGCTTCAGTGGCGAGTTAATCAGGTGAGAAATTTAGATAAGAATTTAAAAGAAAAAATTAATTCTCACCCGCAGCTGTCGATAGCTTTAAAGTGTGAGAGTAGTTTTTGGAATAGAAAATTTATTAAAAATTTTATTATATTAAATTATATTTTTTTTTTCAAATTTTTTTAGATGGAAATCAATCGGCAGATGTACAGATCACTTTTGGACCAGGTCCTCCGCTTCCTGGACAGAACGCGCAAGAGCCTTGACATTCTTCACGAGAAGAACAACCCCAAGGGAAAGAATTCACGGGTCCCACGCAGTCGTAGCGTGCATGCCGTGCACGCTGAAGCGTCAGGAACTCGTGGGACCTCATCGTCGCTGATCGATGATTCCAGTTTCACCAGGGCTAAGTCAGTTACGCAGATAGCGCCGTCTAATAGTGGCGCCAGGGATTTCACCTGGTCCGTCCTGAGACGCAATGATCCAGCTCACTGTACGCCTCCACGTGGAAAGCCACCACAGGACTCGAACAAGTCTCACGAAGGGATCGCGTACCGTAGACCTAAGCAGCTTGAACTGAATCCTGATGATGTGCCACCGGAGAAGCTGTCCCAGGAAGCCTTTCGTTTGATGAGAACCGTGCAGTCTCTGCTTGCTGTCAAGGAGCCTGACCTAGCACGCGTTCCACATTCTGAAGATAATGTGTCCCCGTCACCGGTCGAACAGGATATGACGTCACAGGCCAACTTTGCTAACAATAGATCCAGCCAGGAGTCTCCCTTCAATGTCAGCGAACGTGGAAGTTCAGGAACGGACTCAGTATCCGAGAAAGCCTTCTCCAGAAAGGATAGTGGTACCACTCCGTTACCCGGTATGCTACCAGGTGCTAGAAGATCACTGGATGCGACCTCCTTGAATTCTGGAAGCAGTAAGACCACGGAAACCACTGAAGAGGATGATACTGATACCTTGACTTTGAACCAGGCAGACTTCACGAGGATACCCACTTCGACGCCGATTCGTTGTAAAAAAAGTAAGGACCTCAAAATACGACCTAAACCTACGACTAGCGCGAGCAGTGCGGAGGATGAGAGCGGATTCTCATCGATAAGCTCTTCCTATCAGGAGGTTGGACTTCCTGGAGCATCCACGCCAATCAAGGGCTGTCATACGGAAGTCGGACTACCGGAAGTTCCCTTGGATAAGATCCGTCATCGTCGATGGACCTCGACTCCTGCTGAAATGGCGTACCTTAACAAGAATCACAATGCTACTTTCACCGCCACTCAGGGTACCACGGAATCCCTCAGGGTTCTCTGGGTCTAGTGATATATTTTAATAGACTTATTGAATATCCCGGGGATGAAAGTGTACATAATATTATATGATCCCGGTTAAGAATTTACACGCAGCAATGGAAAAGTGTCTTTCTGCATGTATTTTTCACTTTAATTGGCGCCGATGACTCTTTATTGATCCGAGGTTAAGAAAAAGGAGAAAAAGTACCAAAAAAAAATAATATAAATATAATAATAAACTCCCTGCGATTATTTAACCGTGATGCTCACCATCGTCACTACTTCTAATGTAATGGATTTAAGCGTAATTATCAAATCAAAATCCTCTTAGTAAAAAAAAACTGTATCCCAAATGTCGTATATTTAGAAAAATTGAGGACAATTCATATTTTGCTGTCGCCTTGTAACTCTTCTCAACAAGTTTGTACATAGTTTTAAAAAATGAGTTGAGCCGAGACACAAAAAATGATATCATGGTTCTTCGCAGACTATTATTATTGCTACGTTGCCCAAAAACATGAACTTGGCCTCTACGAGAGAATACCAAGAACAAACAAGAGTATCCGGTGAATTAATATTATTCACTAATTGTCAAGCATGTAATTTTCACTAGTTAAAAAGAAAACTGACTTATCCCTCTCCCCCCAAAGTTATTCGCCAAATTTTAGCGTAGATCCAACTTTCCCCAGTTTCCCCCCAGCGGAATCTCCTCGTCATTGTCACGCGAAAGTAGCCCCGTGGACCATGCGCAAGAGTCGACCATTTGTCATAGATGATTTTTACACGATTTATCATGAGGTATCGTTAAACTTTTAGCAATATAACAAAAATACGTAAATTTGTGAGAATGCGAACAGTGTTTGCGAATAGCGTACTGGTGCTGAATAATTTGTCTGCTGGATGCGTGATGTTCTTCTTTTTTTTCTTGTATTATACAGAGTAACGCGTATTTCATGCTAGCGTGAAATACAGGTAACTGTAAAAAGTCATTGGTAAGCCGATGAGAGTGTGAGAGAGAAAGAGAGAAAAAAAGAGAAAGGAATTTTCTCGGATCATTGATTATTGAAATAAGGGCAATGTCTTAGCGTCGTCTACACTTCTATCGACAAAAACAATGATTAAGAGAAAGGAGGATAACAGAGATAAATCAGTCATTAGGATTATCATAATGAAATTTATAAAAATCAGACAAGACTATCATTGTTATTCCTTTTCTTCGTTTGCGACAATAAAAGAGGATAAAAAGAGAACAGCGCTTTTTTTAACATCTTAATACGCTCCACGTACGTTCAAAATCATATATAAATGAATTATGTGCATAGAAAAAAAAAGAAGTCCCATAATACATTGGGACCAAGTGTATAACTTGTGCTTTTGTCGAACGTCCTCCGTCGCGATGCGCTCATTGTCGGTGAAGAAAACGTCATCATTTTGTAATACTTAAAATTGACATAGTTTCGGATAAAACTTCATAGTCATAAAATATAATTCTGTATGTTTCTTAAACGTGTAGTTCTCACTACCGATTACAACTGCTACAGGCGAATGAAAGTATTATACAAATTATACGTTGTTAATTCACTCATCGCGATCCATTGATACAACGATCCGTAATCCTCTGTTTTCCACAATAAATAAAACTCCCCAGATACTGTCAAAGTGAACCAAAAGAGTAAAGCACGAAAAAGATAAGTAATAGTTTGATGATCCACTCAGGCAATCAGTTATGATAACGATAAGCCTTATCCGCAGTATCCACTCTGAAGATCCCTTAAAAATCCAGTAAACGTCTCGGTATTCCTGGTTGCAGCTTCCTTAACCCTACAGAGTAGTTACCAACTGGTCCGAGAGGGAGTTTACAGAAGAAACACAAAGAGGGAGCTGCTGAACGAAGCAAAGCTGCGCGCGCATCCCGATAAGGAAACACGTACCAGAAAGAAGGAGAAGAGGAAGTCGTTATCAGTGCCGGCGGCGAGTTCACTCGATGACGAGTCAGTGCGCGAATCGGCCAGGAGATTGCGCCACCAGCCGAGCCACTTTTAGATTGATTTTCAAGAGCACCGAGAGCGCTCCGTGTTATTTTAATGTGCTACAGTGGGCTGTGGGTGACTTAAGCAATAGTGAGGTTCGGTGCGTGCCTCTCCCTCCCGGCGAGCGGAATTTGTCACAGAAACTTCGTGCTTCGGGGACAGCAGTGTTCGTGGCGCAGTGCGTGAAATGAGTGAGAAGGACCGTTCGTCTCCCATCCTCGTAGAAAACAGCCTCAAATCACTCCTCGACCAGCCCAGTATTTTTCCGCTGATCGGTGAGTACACAGCAGCACGCCAATACGTATGATTATCACGGTGCCGAGATTGTCTCGCGTTATTCATCCCGGTTTACTGTTCCTCTACGATCCTCGATAACTCCTCGTCAATACATATCTCAAGCAGAATACGCACAGTAGGATTTTATCGTTCGAATTGCTACCGAACCCCGCGCATTGCGGACCAATTGCTACCCCAGCGCTGACTGGCGGCAGGTTTACGTGACGAGTTTTCCATTCTTTCAAAAACTTCTCCCTTTTCATACCGGACTTCCCCGTTACAGTGCCGACTGTCCTCTTTTCCACGGCTAATCGAGGAATATCCGTGAAATCGTACCCCTCGTCGTTCACTCCTTTTTTTTTCTCGTGTCCATTGTTGCGCCGGCGCTCGACTCCTGATTAACCTCGTTCGGACCCCGTGGCGCACCACGTGACACGGCACGAGAGAAACCTAACCTAACCCACGTGAAATATCTAGCACTCAGTATTCATACACACGCACATACACAAGAACTATACCCAGTTAAGTAAACCTAACCAATATACTGGGCTCTAGTACGTATCCAATAGATCTTTTAACAACTTCTTGAACATGGCTTACCTTTTTCTCGATTAAACGTTGCATCGGACTAAGCAACGAAATATCCATCGACGTCAACCCGGAACCCTGAAATAAAGTCATTTATCCATTGGGAGTGGCCGACGCTACTTCGCTCTGACAATAATTCATTTCCAACGGGAAATTCGCTCTAGTGCCTGGGATCGTTTAATGGACACTCTACGCGGATCTCCCTCAGGGCTTTGCATGATTGCACAATGAACGACCTCACCAAGGGCTTTCTAATGGTTTCCAAAGGGATACACCGGCAAAGACCTTCAATTATAATTATCAGCTTTCAGTCTGCACGAAAACACGATGCTAATAACCAGTCATTTATTTATGACTTAATAGCACGTTGATCGATTCACGTTCTATGGAATCCACTGGTCAAAGGTCCTCGAATACTTTTTCTCTCTTTTTTTTTTTTTTTTTTTTTTTTTATATATTCCATTTCTTACACTCGGTTACACCTCGTGACCAGCTACGTTTCTCAATGACGCTATTCGTTTTCAAAAGTCAAATCACCAACCATATCACTTGCGACATCTTTTACCGAACCAGGTATGTTTCTACTAACTCAAAAGTGATCCTTCCAATTCACGCTTCATTGCTCCTCTCAAAATAAACATACATCTTCCCGCTCTTCGTCGAACTCACCGAGACAGAAGACACGTTCGTGGCTCATTGCCTAGGAATTTCCATTATGCGATTTTCTCCTGGCTACCAACAGTTATATCTGCCTTTCTTCTATGACGTGCTCTCTCTCTCTCTCTCTCTCCCCCCCCCCC